CCACCTCCTTGGCCAAAATCCCGATGCAGGTGGAGCTGTCGTCTCCTGAGAGGCATCTGGGGCAGGGGTGCACAAATTTGACTCTTGTTCACCCAAAATCTCAATGCACAGGGTTAGGAGGGGGAGAGGATACAGCCACTCTGGTGAAGGTGTCAAGTCCCAGATGCCCAGCTCTGCCTGGCCCACTGGTCCCCAAACCCACAGTTCCCCTTGCTCACCTCCCTCCTTGGGAATGGCCCTACTTCCATGCTAAATCAGGAGCCCATACTGCAGATCCAGGCTAAGCCCTTGAGCTTGTCCTTGCCCCTCATCCTAGTGCAAACCCAGCGTTATTAAATGCTCTACCCCAGGTCATCTAGTGGGGAAGCAGAAGAGGCTGCTGGACCCTCTCCCCTAGTCTTATGACTTCAGTTAGCAAATGCCTCAAAGACCCCATCACCACCACTGCTCTCTCCCAGACACTCACATGACTTGCTTTTCCTGCAGGTTAATAGGTGGCATGGCCCGGAGACCAGGCTTGTTTGTTGAAGTACCATCACCTGAGCAGAGGGGGTCTGAGACCAGGAGCCCATTGAGATCGCCATTGTAGGCATTAGATGGTCGCTGGCTCTCTGCACTGGGGCCTGGGGACAGAAAGCGCTACTCTGATAAAGTTGTTCTACCTGCCCACTGGCCTCTCCTCCTGAAGAGCTTCATTCAAGAAACATGAGGCACTCTAAGTGAGGCATGCCAGTGGGGAAGAGGGCCCTTTGTTCAACTCTCATTTCATAAAAACTGATGATGGACCCAACAAAGGATGAGCATGATGCTCCTCTACCTGGGGGTGGGGGTACATGTCATCAAGGATCCTCTGAGGCTAATTAATATTCAGGCCCAGGTTAGCACAGGGGGACTCTGCATACTTGAAGGAGGGCGTGGTCAGACTTCACAGAGGAGGTGCCATCAGAGCCAGTGTGGCTAGGACACACAAACATAGGAAGGATGGAGGGAAAACAAGGCTGCAAAGATCTCAGGTGTGAGGCTGCAGTGCTTAGGTTTTCCCTGTAGTAGAGAGCCACACAAGAGTTTTAAATGGGGAAGTGACATGGTCTGCTATGGCCAGAGGGTTGACTGCTCAGAAGTAGCATGCAGGATAGTTAAGAATCCAGGTAAGAGACACCAGAGCCTAGACCCAAAGCAGTGGAGTGGTTGGAGAAGAGAAGGTAGGCTCCTAAGGCATAGAAAGACATGGTAAGACACAGGAGTGTGAAAAGACATAGGAGTATGGGGGGGGGGTTTAGCTCACTGGTAGAGCATATGCTTAGCATGCATGAGTTCCTGAGTTCAATCACCAGCACCTCCATTAAAAAAAAAGAGAGAGAGCGAGAGAGAGAGAAAGGAAGAAGACTGCCTCACACAGAAATGGCTCAGAAGCAGCCACCCTGGGCAGGTAAATGCAAGAGGAATGGACATGAAGGAGTTGGACAAAGTGTAGAGAAATTATGGGGTAGGGTGTGGAGTCAGGACACACAGCATTTCAGTTCTTTACCATCAGAGTTTCGAGTCACAAAACAGTCTGGGGTCTGACATGCTCCTCTGGTGAGAGGAGACCAGTAAGGGCTACTTGGCAAACAGGGGAATCAAGCACCAATCAATAAACAAGGAGTTAAGAGGAAAGACAAAAGGCCACTTCACTTGTAACAGATCTCCTTAGCTGCTCAGGGGTAAGCTGACCACTCTCCCTCCCAAGCAGGCTACTATGAGGACAAACAAATAAGCTACACAAGGTTAGTATGCACAGCAGCTAATGAGTATAAGAGGTCCAAGCCAAGCTCATGAGTAAAAGGAGCACACAGTCCAGGCCTAGGGAAAACGGCTCAGTGGTTTCAGGCAGCAGATGGATTTTCTCAGGGACTAGAGTGTAGCTAAACCTTAGAGTGGGCAGCAGTGCCTGCTTCCAAAAGGAACCAGTTTGGGCCTTCCAGAAGGTTTAAGAACAGGGTCTGAAGAAACACTCTGGTTTCTGCACACCTACACCACCATCACCAGCCAGTCTCTCAATCATTACAAGTTTTCACAGGTCCTTGTACCTACCAGGAAACTTTGGTACCTTCACAAGTGCTATTTCTTTGTTGTAGAATGTCTTTTCTGACACCCAAAACCCTGTTCATGTTACAAGACCTAATCTAAACATTGTCTCTTCTCTTAGATCTGTTCTCAGGCACTCTCCAGCCCCTATCCCACCTACCCTATCCCCATTACAGTACCAAAATTTCTCTTGTTCAATGACAACAGCATTATATTACACCTCATTAGCTCTCTGTGTCCTGGGGGCTCCTTGAGGGCAGGAGCAGCTCTGAGGTACCACTGCAAACCCAAGTAAAGTTTAAATGAATAGAAATAAATGAGGGCTTGCAGATGTTTGCAGCCTAATCCAATCAGGACTGTGCAGTCTGTGATTTGCCTAAATCCCAGAGAGGAGACGGAATTGGGGTTGGTCACCTTCCTTCTGAAAATCGGTTTCAGAATCGCAAGCCTGGAGTCTGTATTCAAGCAGGAAAGGCAAGTTGCAAAGGGAGATCTGCGGCTCCTCAGCAAAGGCCTAGGTCTAGACACCGAACACGGCATACACAGCCCTGACTGGGCCTCTCAACTATGGCAAAAGGGTGGGGAACCTGGGCCAGTCCTAGGAACATTAGAGACTTTGGGCCAGGACACCTGGGAGGCTCTGCGGATTCAGAGAAGGGGCCTCACCTTCAGCCAAGATGCTGAAGGACGAGGCAGAACGGCCCAACCCCGGGATGGGGAACAATCGCATCCAGGGGTTTGAGCCCTTTGGGAAGCAAGCTCAGGGATTTGCCGCTCCGACCCTTGTCTGCCCTCGCCAGCCGGGATGATGCAGAACCAGTCCTGAGGGACCCGAGAGCCTTGAGGGTGGTCCAAACCCGAACCACCCTTCTGCTCGTTCGCCAAGGACCCACTCCCACTGTCCTGGCTCACCCCCCGCAGGCCGGTCCAGCTTGAGTATGTCCCGCAGGTGCTGCGTGGCGTCCTCGATGTCGATGCTCGCGCAGGAGGAGGCCATGGGCCCAGCCGCGGGCGCCCTGTTCGCGCCGCGTTCGTTTCACTGCCGCCGCGCACCGTCCAGCCGCGCACAGCCCCGGCAGGGCCTGAAAGCCGGACGCCGGTCACTACACTCTGTCCACCCGAAGCTCGCAAACCGCCGCCCGAGCCGCGTCCCCGAGCCCCGCCAACCCCACCAACCGCCTCCACTTCCGGCCCGCCTGAGCCTCGGCTCCCGGAACCTACGCGGGGAGGAGAAGAAAGGTTCCGGGCTGGGGGCGAACGCTTCACTCTTGATGGAGCCCGCCCCTACCGCGGTCCCTCTCCAGGGTTGGCTGAGTCGGGGAAGTTCCCCAGTTGAGGCAAACCAAATGTCCACTTGCTGGACCGCCCAAAGTCAGGATACCTCGCCGGACTCATGTCCATTCCCAGAGGATGGACTCATGATGGGCCTAGGACAGGGTCAATTCGGTTGCCCAGGCTGAATCCCTCAGATACCCTAGAAACAAGCTGAATTGGCAGAAGCTTCGGTTTCCCTTTGGGAATTGGGTCGGTGTAATCCAAGGCTTAAGAGGACCCGCAAAGTCATGGGACCAGAAATCCAAGGGCAGGGGAGGTGGTCCCACCACAAATACATTGTTTCCCAACGTCCCCCAGCACCCCCTTGCACGACCAGGCACTCTCAGGCAGAAAGAAAGAAACCAGTTTACAAACATCTCTTTATTGCAGACATTTCAGGCACAGGTACATGGAAGAAGCTGCATTGCAGATTTTATACAAGGTGGTTTAAGAGGCAGCAGACAACTACCTCTCTCCCCAACCTCCACCCCTCCAAAAATACTGCAGCCTAGAAATCAGTCCCACTGAAATCTCCTGAGTATGCTGTCCTTTCAAACAGCACATCATCCAGCCCTGTGCCCAGTGTAGCCAGGGAACCTGTGGCGGTCTGAGGAAGTCCTTGGTTTCTGTTCATAGTGCAGGAGAGAAGGGTGGGGAGTGGGTGTAGAAGGTCAGGCAAAGCTGTGGTGTCCTCACCAATCCTAAAACCTTTAACAGGGCACCAGCCCAAGTCCTGGGTTTGGTTCTAGCCCGTGGATGCTACTTTACAACCAGTTTTACACTACCAAGGCCTCAGAACTAAAGGGCTAGATTTGTACTAGGCAAAGCCTGTCCCCCAAACTGAGGAGAAATTGCTCCAACACCTAAGACTTCCCAGGATTTGAAGACAGTGTGAAGGTATGAGTGTGTGTGGCAAGGGAGGGAATAGGAGCTCTAGAGATGCCCTGCAGAGGTCTCAGGGGTAAGATATCCTAGAACCTGAATCCCTCAAACTCAGATTGCTTTCTTTCTAAATCTATACTCCAACCCAACTGGGCTTGGCTCTGTGGGCACTGGAGGCTGGCTGTTTGAGGCACTCCCCTTTGCAGGTGGTACAGGAAATGAGCTGCTCTCTGCTGGCTTGGCATTTGTGGGACACAATGGATGTGATCCTGACCCTTCTGTGGATAGAAGAGGCCCCTCTCCCTCAAACCTCTGCTCATACTAGGTCTTGCTGAGCCCTCAGTCTAGGAGGCATGAACCTAATGGGTCATTTTTGCCAAGGCTTCTCCATCTTCTATAGGATTATGGAGCATCTCACATGTCATTAGCGCCCTGACCCTTCCCAGTGGAGAGGTAACAGGAGGTATCAGAAGTGACTGTAGAGACTTCATTGCAAGGGAAGCTTTAGGCTAGACCTGAATTCTCCCTGTCTGCAGCTCACTTTCCCAATACCAGGTGGGCTGGAGAGGGGAACACTATGCCCTACAAGAGAAGCTGGCTGAGAGTACTGTTTCAGCATTTTCTCCTTGCAACAGGTATTGCTGAGTTGGAGTAGAAGTGGGAGAGTGAGACATAAGAGAGCCAATGGGGCAGTGTAGTTACTGATGCCCAGCCAACTATTAAACTAATTAAAACAATTTAAACTGTTACGAAAATTTTCGTGGTTTTATTGTATCATGAGGCATTGAAACATCTGAACAAATCAATATCTGGGCGGTGAGGCAGCTGCTTTCTCCTTCACTTCTTTGGGTTACTAGAGCAACTTGTCAGTAGATTAAAAAAAAAAAAAGACAACCTTTTGCATTACTTAAGTCTTTCCAAGGCATGCGCTGGTACAACACAAACTTCTCCTGTCAGATGCAACTAGTCTAGCGTCCAAACATCATGCACAATACCTCGGTAGCAGTAGCGCACTGCGCCCACTCCTACCGTGGTCCTGCTCATTTGTGTATGATATTTGGAGCATCTGGAGGAGTGTGAATAGTATCAGGAAGAGGAGGGAGGAGGAAACAGCATGAGTGCCTGGCTGGGAGGAGGTCAGCCGAAGTTGTGCAGGGCAAGCCTGAACATGTCATTGGTGCAAACCCAGGCATCGTTGATGTTCTTTAATAGGAACATCTGGTGGAACCCCATGATGGGATCTTCATCAGCCTGTGAGAAGAGAGAAAATGGTTCAGTAAGGTGGCCAAGGAACAGGAAGGGAATTCAGTAGCAGGAGATAAGACCCCAGGACTCAAATCCTAGGATAGCTAAGGGGTACTTGTGATGAATGGACATAATGTATAAAACACTAAACTGGGCCCACAGAGGCCTATAGATGCCAGCTCACACTGCTATATACACAAACTGCAAAACAACTCACCAGTTAGCTACAACAACAGAGCAGAGAACATATGTGCCTCTGAGCCCACGTTTTTGGGCAAAGTGATCAATTTGAGAGTTCCACAGTGTTTCCATGTAACTTACAGTATTTAAAAACGAAACAGTCTTAGTGTCTGATTATGCCAGTTAGTCCAAGGAGGAGAAACTACTGCTTATACTGACTATGGCCAAATACATGAGAAAAGGCTCAAAACCAAGCTCACACTGTGATGACAGCTCTCTGGGGGAAAAATGAAGCATCACTATCAGGTGGTCTGTTTCTTGTCATGTAACATATAACATTTGCAATGAAAACAGAAAGGCAAGAGATCTCCAGTCAAACTGCTGAAGACTCGGGTAAGGCCTAGTTGAGGCAGGGGCCCACTAACCAGCACTATCCCTACCATCACTGGTCTTTCCAGTAATTATAACCAGCAAGGAGGCAAATAAGTCCTTTGGGGGCTTTAGAGTTGGATAAACTACTGCAGAGGCCTAGGGAGCCCCACCTCCCTCCACCCTCCTATTGGACTCAGGAAGCCCTGCCTAGTCTAAGGACAATGCACGTGGGCCTATTATTCTGGGCCCCAGCATGACACAGGCCCAGGAGATTGGAACCTGATTAAGGGGCAGCTCATTTGTCCAGCTTTGAGAAGGAGGAGAGGCTTTTTAGAAACCAAGAGTCTGAGGTCAGTCAGCTAAAGCTTAACAGGTAGGAGTTCCTGGGGTGCTGAGGGACCAGATGAAAGCTTTGAAGGGAACAGGTCTTGAGAAGGGGAAAAGAAAATGCAGAGAGAAGCAGGAGTTCCAGGAATCTGCTTTGCTCAGCAGATGGAGAAGCCAGCAGCCAGCTCAGGGAGTGGTGGTATGGAGTCCAGTAGGGAACTGCTACTTAGCATCCAGCTGGCTCATTCAGGGTCAGCTGCCTGCAGAAAGCCCACATACACCGTGGGGCAGTACAAAGGCCCTGTGGCTTCACAGCCCCATCCTGCTCCTAAACCTCTTGTCCCTTTTCCAAAAGGCTCTAAACCAGTGCCCTCCAAGAAAACTTGCTGCAATAACAGAAATGTTCTATGTTTGCATTGTCCAATAGGCAGCCACAAGTGATTGACTATGAGCACTTGAAATATGACTAATGCAACCGAGAAACTACATTTTAATTTTATTTCTTCTTAGTTAATGTAATTTAAAAATCACCACATGTGGCTGATGGCTATTGATTGCACTGAGCTACGCAGCTCTAGGCATCACTTTGCCTGGGTGTCCCTTGATAAGCAGGTCACATCATAGGCAAGCAGCACTATTACCTTGAGCTGGCCCACAACCATGCTGATGATACAGCTATCTGGTGTGGGCTGATGGTCCTGCGCTGTGATGCTGTGCTGGATTTTCTGGAACGGAAGGCTCTGTAAGAGAAAGAGTGGGTGTGGGCTGAGGCCAGCAAGGTGGGGAAGGAGCTACCAGCAGCCCAGCCCTGCCCCTTACTTACAGACAATTTCTCCACAATGGCAGCTTTCCCCTGGAATTGCTGTCCTTCCCACGTAAGGCATGACGCATCAATCTGAAAACCAGGAAACGTGGGGTCAGAGCCTCAGAGCACAAGGAATATCCCTGAGGCCCTGAAAGGACCCTGAAAAAGGTCTTGCCTGGGGAAATGAGTCCATGTGTTAGTTTCCCTGTCTGTAAAGAAGGGAACCAAGGGTAGTTTCCAAATTTTACACAATTCACAATTTCTTTAATTATACTCTATCATCGCAGAGCCCAAGCTCTGAAAGACTACGTAACAAAATAAAAACTTAGTAATGAATAAGTTCATTTCCTGGTTTTTATTCAAGAAGTCAAGTGGCCTTCAGTATGTATGAGCTCCAGGCTGGTTATGTATGGCTGGGGCTCAGCCAAAAGCCATCCTGCTGTGTAGTCAGTCAGTACCAGTCCCAGAAAAGCCATCAGAAATTACTTGGAAAATCCTATGTTTATCACCATCTCTAGAGCCCAGGCTGAGTTCCATAAGGCCCTTCCCATGGGGTCAGGGAGGGATGAAGGCTGACAAGGCCTTTCAAGGCCTAGCCTGGGACCTTCCCTACCATCAACAAGTTTCTTGCTAACTTCACGCCCCCTCCTCCAGATCGTCCCTGCCACAGCCTTCAGGGGCAGAACTCAAAATTGCCTCTGCTACTTATCAGCTATGACTTAGACAAGTTACTGTTTTCTTCCCCCAACTCTCAGTTTCCTGATCTTTAAAGGGGACATGTACTGAGGATTATACAGAATGACATACATAAAGTACTCTTTTAGGACCCTGCTAACTCTTCTTTGGGTCAGGCCTGCTTTAATTGACTTTAAAATCAATGAGGCAGAAGTGCCAGGATTCCAAAGTCAGATCAGTTTGAGTTTTTAAAATTACCCTATCTATGATAATGATAATCAAATACTTATGCTTGTCTTCCACTGGTAAAATCCCTCTGTTTTCTTCAAAATTTCTCTACTGACCCTGGCTTTTTGGAGGGTGACTCAGAGAAGTCTGTCCACAGCCCAGTCAGGCTCCAAGGTTACGCTGGATGACTCCTACCATTCTTATCCTGGACAGACCTGCTAGGTATGCCTGATCAATCACATTTCTGTCTTGGGCAGGATCAAATACAAGTAATTCTTGGCGTATATGAACATCATTAAAATAGCAGCAAACAATGCCTGCATAGAAGGGTTTCTCAAAAAACACATCAGCCTCCTTTGGCTAACCTCATTTGTTTCCCATGAGCATTCAGGGGTTTTTGGTCGCCCAAAAGGAAGCTGGACCTGGGGTCTCCAGGAGAGATGAGGACTATGATGATGATGCTCATAACTACTGCCTCCAGAGGGCACCGTGAGAACTAGCCTCTGTCTGCTGCTGCCCAATCTGGAACAGAGGCATTCCCAGGACCACGGAATGGCAAGCCTAGAACCTCCCTGCCCAGGGAACCAGGATCCACACTCTTGTGGAAGATGACAGAAGGGAATATGTGGAGCAGGGAGTTGGGCTAGGTCTTAAGCCCCCTGTCCCATGGACAGAAGCTCAGATAAAAGGATACAGTCAAATCCACTGAGGGCTGCCAGAACCTGTGAACTGAAGGCCTTGGCCAATATCTGAATTAATCCCCTGGGGTCCCCCTCGAGTCCTAGAGCTGAAGACTTACATAAATTGCGCCTAGCTGGGTTCTGTCGTTATCAAATAACTGGTAGTAATGTTGAATGAAGCTGGATCCAATCTGCTCCCAAATTGGCTTGTCTCCCATTCTGGAGCGTCACCCGGCCTCGTTGAGACCTGCAAGAACAGCCAGACAGGGAAGAAAGTGTTGGTATTTTGGTACTGTGGAAGGAGGAGGTAGTCAGCCACACTGTCTCCTCACTGACCCCTACCCCTCCCAGACCTCCCTGAGCAGGGAGTCCTTTGCTGAGGTCTGTTCTCCCAGGGAATACAGAGAGGGGCCAGGGAACTAATAAGCGACCCCTCAGTACAGACCAGCAGGGAGCCCAGAGGTGGACTAGACTCAGCCCCATCTTTGAGGAGCTCTGTTGATGAAACAGAGGGCTGGCAGGATCCTGGAGTACACAGGATAGATGCTGAGGGTGGAGCCAGGACAAAGGAAGCTCAGAGCAAGCCCAACGGCGGGATGGGTTTTTAAGGAGGAGCTAAGCATGCTCCCCATAGCTTTTCATTTAATCCTCTCAACAACCTGCAAGGCCAGTTGTTGCTATTCTTCCCACTTTGTAGGCTGGGAACTACTGATGTCTATGGGTGGAGTGTCTTCTATTGCAGCCCTCAGTTCCTCAACACTGCCCCAGGATTTTACTGGAAGGGCAGGTGGAAGACCCAGTGAGTAGGGGAGAATGGCTTCTCAAGGCCACATTTGCAAAAAAAACAGCGAGTGACACCCACGCACCCTTGTCTTAAAGGGGGCAGTTTACTTCTTTGAGGCCAGGTGACACTTCATTTCTTCACTGATAGGGGCTACACCTACCCACTTCAGAGTTGGGGACATGAACTCAGAGGGTCTCAGGTAATAATGGAGAAATATTGGGAGGGGAAATGAAGTCTGTGAGGGGGAAATGTGTCATGACTTCATCTCTCCATCCCAGCACTGGCTCTATCATAAGGGACTGCCCCTCTTTTGTCTCTGAGGGGGAGGGGAGACCCCTCCCAGCTACAGATATCAGGAACCCAAGGTTGCTAGATGGAAAATCCAAGTCCCAGATGAAAGAGCTGTTCAGGCTTTGCTAGGCCCCTCCCATGTAGGAAGCCCACATCTCACTGCAGGATCTCATGACAGCACACCTGTGTGTTGTTCTGCAGTTGCCTCTGACTGTAGAGGAGCTCATTCCCTCTCTCCTTGTAACAGGACTCTGAACCAAAGCAGTAAGGAAGTGGGTTTGACTCCGGCAGACAGTCACTGGCAGTGGTGGGATCTGATGCAAGTCACTGCCTTTCTTAGGGCCTCAGCTCCCTCCTCTGTAAGGGGCTGGAATCCTGATGCTGCCACTGGTTATGAAGCCTCACGAAGGGAACCTAGTAAAGCTCTCAGCTCAACGTGGTAAGTGCTAGTTCACTCCAGTCTCTATGACTTCACCCAAGGCCAGAGAAGCCAGGGGGAAGAACAGTGTAGGAGGGCAGTGGCTCATCCCCAATCCAGCCAGTCTCCCAGCCTGTGACCAACACACCAGCCAGTAAGGGGCCAGGAAGCTGAGCCAGCTTTATTTTAGGTCCTCTAGGAGGTAGTTGCACTAAAAATAGCAGCTCAGTGCTGGGATGACTAAGAAATGTCCAGGAAAGTCTAAAACAAGCAGAGGAGAAAGCTTGGACCCGGCCATGCCTGCTTGGGACAAGGTGTGTCTCAATTCACACTTTGCTAAGAAACAAATCAACAAGTGGGGAAAGTACAGGGTCAACAGCTGGTCTCAGCTGCTGTGTCTTGGTCATATTTCCAAGGGATCAGACTGTGCCTGTACCCACACACAAACATGGGTTACTGGAGGCAAGGCACAGCCCCACATCTCACATCTCAGCCCCTCCCACTCTAGTATTCACTATGTTTGGCTCATTGACTGAGGCCTGACCCTATCACATCTTACCCACAAGACGCCTTGCCCAGCTCCCAAGAACCCTGAGGCAGGTGGTAAGCTGGAGGAATGGATAAGGGCCACCTCTCCCTCTGTCCTCAGCAAGGCTGGGCAGCCTTCATGGAAAGTCTTGGAGAAAGAGTATGCCAATCAGAAGAAACAGCGTAAGCAAATGTCTGGGGGCACGAGAAGAGATAAGGGTGGGAAACTGGGAAGGTGGAGATGGAAGGTGAAGGGAAATAAGGCAACAAGCTGATTCAGAGACAAGAAAAGTGGCACCATATGGTGGGATGGTGAGGTGGAGGAAGTGTGGGGGTGTCTTTTCCTTTTTCAACATTGTTCCTAATGGCGTGATAACTTGCTAATAAAAAACTACTTGGCAGAAGTAGTGGTGGAATAAAGAGGATGGAGGAATAAAGGGACAGAGGAGCTCTTTAGTCTAGTAGAGCAGGGCAGTCCCGAGGAACAGGACTGCTCAGGGGGCCCCCAGAAAGTACGAGAAGGAAACTTCAAAAGTATGTGGATTGAAAACTGCTTTAAAGATGTCAAGTGGGTCTGCTGAGGCCAATACCAACCTTGTTCAAGGCCTGCTTGACTATGATGCATTTACCTCTATGTAGTGACCACAATCGCCATGTGGTCAGATTTCAGTCATCCCACTTTACAAGTGGGAAAACTGAGGTTCAGCTATGTGGGGAGTCTTGCCCCAAGCCGACCCAGTACATCAATGCTGATCTGGGTTGTCTGGTCAAGGTCAGTGTTTTATTTCTGACAACTTTGCATCCCTGAGCTCTAAACCACAAGGCTGCCATGTCTCTCCCCTACAAAACACTTGTGTTAAAGGTCAAACCCTCAAAGTTCCACAGGTGGCTATCCACACCTATCCCTAACTCTTTAGCTATTCTCTCCTTCCTTCATCCAGCTCCACACATAAATACACCAGAACTCGCTGCACGTTTGCTCCTTGTGTTTTTTGCACAGGTGAGTCCCTAGGCCAGGATGCCCTCTCTCCCCTCATCAGTTCCTGACTGCCTGGTCAGTTCCTGCTCTCCCCTCAAGTCACTGTTCAGCTGCCACCTATTTGGGTCCTCCTTCCTAGACTCAAATGTTGACCCCAAAACCATGTGCAAATCCATATCAACACACCCAGGGTCCACTCCTCTGCCCGAACATGGTAACTCTGGGCTGTGAGGGTTGCAATGTGGTTCTTGCCACACCCTATTCCACCCCTCCAATCTCCCAGCACAGAGCATGGACCAGCAAACTGCAAGATTTCTAATTCCAAATCTTCTACAAAGCTTTCAACTCATGGCTGGGAGGGAGCATTCCTGAGTCCAGAAAAAGCAGCAGGGTGCAGAGCCCCCCTCTCATCCCCATGCAACACAGGGGAGGATGGGAGGATGTTCCCCAGGACGGCCAGCAAGCCCTGACCTTGTTTCTAGTACATTTAAAGAACAGCCTAGAAAGAAACAAAATGCCAAGGCTCAGAGGCAGCCTTATACCAGATTGGGAACTGACCTTGAAGATGGCTCCTCCTACAGCTCTTCCAAGAGGGCCGCTGACGATGCCATCTCCTGCTTCACCCCAATAGTCTGCAGGCTGACCAAGGCCAGTCTCCTTGAGGAGCAGAAATGACCTTGGTGACCTCTCGCCCACTGAGCATTAGCCTTCACTGACCCTTAGGTCTCTGTGGGTACAAAGACCCTCTAAGAATGCCTCAAAAACTGTGGCCCTCTCTTAATAAACTTGCACAGAGGCAGAGATGACCCAGCCTTGTGAGTGATTTCAAGTTGCTCACACTCCCTGAGGGTCAGTCATAGACCCCAGGTTAAAATTGCTGGCCCAGAAGATCCCATTGGGTAATAGAAAATCTTCATTTTTATCCCCAAATTCTGGGTCAGTGTTTCCAGTATTTCAAAACTTGAAACAGCTGTGTCCAGCTGCTAACGTCTCATTTTCCCTAATGTGTATTAGGTGTAGAAACATGCTAAGGGCTTTATGTGCACTTGTTTTAAACACCCTGTGAGTCAACTCCATGCTAGAGATGAGCAAAATGAGGCTCAGCAAGGTCAGCTAATTTGCTCAAGGTCACAGGCCTAACAGATAGTGGAACTAGACCGAACTAGGCTTAGAGGACTCCAGAGCCAGGACTCCCAGAGACGACTGGTCTGGAGATAAAAATGAACAGTATGTAGGGCTGAAGCCCTGGATCTCTAATCTTGACTTTCTCAGATGGGGCAAGACAGGCCTGATAGTGCTTCTGCCCCCAAACAAAGGAACCAGGCAGATTTCCACACCAAACAATAGGCATTTTCACAGGGAATGATCTCGTAGTTTTCCCAAACCTTCAAAGTCACAACCCCATTCTACCATCTCAGCAAAGCCGAGATAGATCCTGGCTTAGCTGGACCTGAGGCAGGGATGGGGGCAGGAGAGTGATGGGGAAGAGGACATTACTAACTTCATACTGATACATAGAAGGATGCTCACATTTGAGGGTCCATCACCAAGGCCCACAGAGAATGCCAGCAGATGTGCCAAGCTTGTAGTGAGGTCCTTGAAATCAGCACCAAACATGGCCATTACCCTCACATGTACTGTCTGCCAGGACTTCCCAACCAACAAAGGCTGGGAAGGACTCCTCTGACAAGTGGGATTGACAGCCAACCTTGGCTTAAACCCAGAGCACAGGTGTGTACTGCAGGGAGTGAGGGGAAGGTGGTGGGCTACAGCTAGACAGGAAGACACTGAAGGGTACCTGTCCCTCAGTAACAAATTGCCTCTCTCTTCATGGTGAGGGGTGCTGTGTATCCTGTCCTATGGCCCTCCAATGACTGTCCTTCCCATTCCCCACTGACAAAGTCTCAACCACTTATCCTGCCTTCAAGGCCCTGGGTAACCTGGCCTCCCGACTCTTCAACTTCATCTCCTGCTACTCAATGCCTCACCTTCTCTGCAGCTACTCTGGGCATTTTCCTGTTTCTGGAAGATGTCGAGCCTGTTCCAGCCGAGGGCTTTGCAACTGCTGATCTTTTTACCTAGATTACTCTTCCCCCTAGATCTTCATGTGTCTGACTCCTTGTCACTTGTAAGGGTCAGCTCAAATGTCATCTCCTCACAGACATCTTCCCTGACCACTCAGTCTAACATAGCCACCCAGTTACTCACTTCACCATCCTGTACTGTCTTAGCACTTGTCACTGCATTAGACTGTCACACCTATGTATTTGTTTATGGTCTGTCTCCCTGACTGGGGCATCCCTGTTCCCAAGATACCTGGTCCAGCCCTTCTTCTCTGGAGGAGTGAGTTCTGGACAAACCCTGTTCAATTTAAGTGGCCAAGTGACCTACCTCCCCTTCACTCAAATGTTCTGTCCCAGTTGTTAAGGAACAATTCTTTGGAGGGACAACTGTGGCTGAAAAGCAGGCACACAACCACACCCTCAAAGGCCTGGCCTCTAGCTAGCTCCTCCTCTCCCTCAAGGGATGACTCTCTGACCCTGTCCCCTCATCAGTAATTATGAGGAAGTTAGGGTAATCAACTGAGGGTATGAAGCAGGGCCCAGTTATAAGGAGTCATTGGCTGGTGCTAGGTGAACACTAGGTCAAGAGCTAGGAAGAAGGTGGGTAACTCAGCCTCCTGTAGGGGCACCACACTGTGGAGCAGCCTCGACCCAGGACCAGGAATGGCCTCATCCACCCCTTCCCTGCCCGAAGTATGGAGAGAAATCAGCTAAGGTCTGGTGCCTTCAGTACCGTAAGGGCCTTTCCCTTCTCTTCTATTTGGAGGGAGGGCTCCAGGGCCTTCAGGCTGCCCTGGTTAGCCTAGAAACTCACTCTGAGACCTGCATTCTGGTCTCTCTGCTCTGCATTTACTCAGTTCCTGAGTAGTCGCCCTTTTCCAGGTGGCTCAAAGATCTCTGAGACCCCTGTCCTAGACAGCTCCCATTCATGAATTTGCTGGTTCATGTACGATAAGTCAAACTCCTGCAAGCTGAATAGTTACATGTATTCCCTCATTTGAGCCTCACAGCCCTGTGAAGCTGGTATGATGATCATAACTTTGTAGATGAAGAAACCAAGACTCCAAAAGGTTAAGGAAGAATTCAAGACTATACAAGGCCTCGGGCAGAGCCAGCATTAAAATGTCCAAAAAACTGGCCTGGAGTGGAACAGCTAAGAGCCAATGTCAGGAAGCAGAAAGCACATAGGTGGCAAAATGAGGCAATGAGGAACAAAATCCAGGCCTTTTTGTTCTCCACTGAAATCAGCAAGCTCCATGCCTGTCAGGACAGAAAGCCTCTGAGTGCATACTCAGCCTGTCAAAGCAGGTTTATACCCTACTACTGAGAACTTGCATTCACCCAGGCCTGAACTACCTCTGCAAGGTCTCTACACACATATATCCTTCTAGGGGGCAGCAGTTTCTGCCATGGTGAGACCCAGTGGCTCCAATGGAGTACCAAGACTTTAAGAAATAAACATTCCAGAATGTCCCTAGTTTACTGAGACAAACTGCCTTCAGTTCCCAGGTACCTTGGACACAACCCTCTCATAAGGAGGCTTCTCCACGGTAGCCCCCTCTCCAGCCTAGGGGCTTATGGAGTTGGCACAAAGCAGGTCCCAGCAACAAATAAAGAATAAGGCCCAGGGAAGTCAGAAGGGTCATACTGGGCCCTCCTGTGTCCCTCTTTCCTGGCCACTAAGACCTTAAGATTTCTCCCGAGAAGACACATTTCAGCTGATAGGGCATGAAGGGAGAAGGTACCATAGATACCTGGTGGTCAGGGTGCTGACCTAAATGATTAGTCACTCCAGACTGATTCTAGCCCTGGAAGTCACTGCAGGGACAACCCACATGCTGTTGCCGCCCTCAGGGAGGGAGTCAAGGATTCTTGCCACATATGGTCAAAGCAAGAGAACCACAAAATCTCAAAGCTGGGAAAGGGGTAGCTAACTTCAAACTCATAAATATCCCCAAATGGCTCATCAGAAAAAAAATAACTTTAAAAAAAGGCCCATCAGGAGGTTCAGCTCAACCCCAGGACAGAGGAATCCTGCCCAACTTTCAACGTCCATTCTGTGGAAAACTTTTTGGATCCACACCCCTATCTCCAAAAAGGACTATTCCCTTTCATTTCTGGAGAGGGCGCCTCTGTGTTTCACTCTGGGAAGATGTCCTGATAGGTATCACTACAGGAGCACTGGGCACTTTAAAGTGACCCTAGAGGGTCTCAGTGAAAGGGGCAGAAGCCATAAACCTAGGATCCAGCCAGGGAATGAGAAGACCACAGACCACAAAATGCTGGTGAGATTCCCAGGCATCGGGAGAATACCCAGCAGAGACTCCTGCGGGAGAGAAAAGGAACAGCCATAGCAATTTGCAGTAGTGACAGCATCCCTCAAGGGACCCCAGACCTTCCTGGGCCCAACATCCTGAGGTATACTTTGCTCTGTGGTTTCTGTGAGGCACTGGAAAGGAGAGTGGGCTTACTAACAGCCTGTCCTCTTTGGTGCTCTAATCATTCAGAAGCCCCCACTTCTGCAGAGGGCCCTGTGGGTCCCTTCAATTTAGCCCTCAGCACATAACAGCAACATTACTCCTGTCTCCCCCACTACTGTGACCTCCTTTCCCCAGCACCAGGACTTGATAGGATTCATTATTCTATCTCTAGCCTCAGTCCAGAGCCTGACATACAGAAACGACCCAAAGAATGATTGCTGAACAAAATGGATCATTGGTGAGAAAGGAGAAAAAAGTTTCAAGCAAGATACTGATGCCTTGGTAGGGGAATCCTATAATTTTTTTGATACAAGGTGACTTCCACTTCTAAAATTTAAGAGTTCTTTCACTTAAATCTTTCATTTCATCCCAATCCACCAACTGCAAAGAGAGCGGAATAAACTGAGACATGGCTCAGAGAAAAAAGGTGGGCTCCATGTCACTAAGGAACCTAATGTTGAGCTGGTTGAGAACCCAGCATCCTCACACCCTGCCCCCATGCTTATGCAGCCATATCCTGACTGTCCCATGCCAGGCCCCACCTCCTAAGTCAGCCCTATATGAATAGAACGTGCAGACTGATTCTGGAGAACCTCAGGGTCCTGCTCTTACCTCTGAGATGCAGATGGCCTGCCAAATTCCACAAAGGTCAAGGACTTCTGGGAGACAGGATGCCTAGCAATGGCTAACTGACATCAGACACATAAGTTATAATGAACTTTCAGGACTGGAATGAGAGTGAGGGACCTGAATTCCTCCTATTCCTGGGTAACCTCTGAGAAGGAACAGAATCTTTTTGACCTTTAAGAAAACTGTCGTGATCAAGCCACCAAGGGCTTTGAAATGTGCAAAATAATTCATAGCCATAAAGCCTAACTCACCTGAAACCAGTGTCCTAGAAAGAACCAACCCAGACAACCTTGAGTCTATAATTGCTTATAGACTAAGAGATCCAACCACACTGATGCTATGTGTGTCCTGTGGGTAGTCTCTCCTTGTTGCCCGCCTTCACTGGCAAACTAGGCCTCTCCTGAGCCTACTGAATGAACCTGAGTTGCATGTGCTCCTGAGCTAGAATGTGGACTAAGACAGTTGCGTTCAGAGAGAAGGCAGGCCCTGGTTAGGAGATCTGGACAGACCCTTGCCTGTCCTCCTGAACCAGGGAGAATGCAATTTAACTGCAGGAAAACAAGGCTGGAGTCCAATTACCAGTAAATATGACCTAGAGAAATACTCAAGGGAAAAGAAAATTTCATGGGTGGTGGCTTTCTGCATTATGGGCCTAATTCAGCTCTCCTAAGAGACCAGCTTGCTGCTGAGGCCAGGTGTACAGAGACTTGGCTGCTTCTTTCGTCCCTGCAAGAACTGTGGCTCAGAAGCAGCACTGGGTCATACGAATCAAGGCTTGACAAACTGTCTCTTCCCAAATCCCATGTTCTTCTCTAAACTCGTCCTTTAATTCATCATCACTCAGTCAGAAGTGCCTTTACAAAGCCTGTCAGAAAACTACTCTATGGCTAGATACCCCCTTCTCCAGATTCAATGGAGTCCCTGGAGCCATCATTAAAGGCAATTTCCCAAGGCCTAACCAGCTTCCTGACATTCATAGGTTCCTCAGCTGTTGGAAAGTGAGCAAATAAGTGAGGAAAGCCTGACCTTCTGCAGCCTACAACTCTAGTTCTGCCAGCCAGGCTTCAGAAGGGCCCCAGAGTCCGAATATAAGCCCAGCAGTCCAAGTGAGCTCCATGTCCAATGTCGCTTGCAGTCCAGCCTCTCCTGTGGCACTAGGCTCATGGACCTCAGACCTGGATTCTACTTGACCCTCCGTTAAACCCCACGTTATCGGTATTATTCTTATGGAATCATTCTCCTCTGGTAGGAGGGCAGATGACCCTAGGAGGGGCAAAAGTGAGGAATAGGCTGTGCTAAAGAGATGTAACAACGTGTTGAAGGCTCATACATTCAACTTCACCTCCTTGGCTTTTTTTCGTCATCCCTCCGCTTACAGGGCCGGCCAATCCATCCACAGCTGTGGCCTGGTCACTGATACAGGGAAGGTCAAGGGCTGGGCCTAAGAGTCGCATCAGGCCAGATTCTCCAAGGCTGGCCGCAGGTAAAGCCCCACGTTGAACCGCCCTCCAGCCCCAGATTCCCTGACCCTGCTCTCCACGCGAGAACCTACGCATGAGTTCCACACAGTGGGAGATAGATTTCGTGCACTCTCAGGAAGCAGGCAAGCAAGGGAGCGTTCACATACATCCTAGCCCAGCTACGCCTGGGAACCGGGTGAGGGTAGGGCTGCGGCAGGCGGGCGCCCTTACCCAATGCTGACTCCAGAGTGAGCCGGGTGGAGCTTGCCCATCCCCGGATCCTTTTCAGGCTGGCGGCAGGACGTAGGCCTGGGGTCGGCCCGCTAGCCTGCCTGCAGACTTTGAGGGACTCGGGCAGGCCCGTCTAGGCCAGACGGGGCGGGGCCCGGAGAGCCCCATCTGGGTGGTCCAGACTAGAGAAAAAGGCCCGGCCCCGGCGCGGTCCGGTGCGTCCGCCACGGGCAAGGAACGCCCAGGATAGGCTCCTGACTGTCTCTGTGTTCCCCTGGCCGCCGCCTCAGAGGACCGGCGGGAGGCGGAGCCGCGCGCGAC